TTTGATGTAAAAGGGCCTTTACAGTTGCTAGAAATATAACTTTTTTTTAATATTAAAAATAAATAAGCAAGCCCAGCCCAGGTGACAAGAAAGTAACTCAAAAGTAACGTAATGCATTACTTTCCATAAAAAGTAACTAAATAACACAATTAGTTACTTATTTATGGAGTTACGCAATATTGTAATGCATCACTTTTAAAAGTAACTTTCCCCAACACTGCTTGTTAGTTTCCTTTTTAACTATGATGCTTCCTTAGAAGTGTGCTTACTATAGACAGTTTCCTAGGCTTTTGAAATGGAGCCGCGTCTGTATTATTTATAATCCACTTTTCACGTGTAATTTCGCAGCAGCTTTGCAGGAAATTACAATATATTTGAGCAAGACAAACGCGACTGTGGCGAGGTAAGTGCTTTTGTGAGTAATAACATAGTTCTTCATAATTGAGCAGCATCGCGCTGTCTGTCTGTCATCACTACAGTGATCTTCAGATGAAAAGGCCACGTGGACGTCAAGTGTTCCGCGGATGTGTTGCCATGGTAACCCTCGGGGACAGCGATTATCGCTGGTGACCTGTGTGTGAGTGTGTGGTGTGTGTGAGTGTGTGTGTTCGGCAGGTCACGTGACAGTCTGATTGGGTCCAGAAGAGAAATGGGACTCTTTCAGACCCACACTCAGAAGGAAGCCACAGGGAAAACAACAGTTATTGGTTGTGTGTGTACTTATGAAGCTAAACGCACATGTGTGATTATGGCGGTTTTCCTTTGACTTCTGTTGTGTTTTTTTATTTTGATGTCTTCACACAAGCATTTCTGAATTTTTACATATATTATATTATTTAAAACACTAAGTCAGACTGCTGAATGGTGTCATGACTGAGGTTGACGTGTGTTTCTTCTAAATTTCTGAATGTTTTTTGAATACTAATTTTCACCTAATTTGTCTTTTTAAATATATATATAAATGGACCACAAAACCAGTCATAAGTGTAAATTTTGTGAAATTGAGATTTATACATCATCTGAAAGCTGAATAAATAATCTTTCCATTGATGTATGGTTTGTTAGGATAGGACAGCTTTTGTGCTGCAGGCTCACATATATATATATATATATTGAATTAGAAAATAATTACTCGATTACCAGAGCTGGGTAACTGATTACATGTAATCTGGATTACGTAATCAGATTCCAAAAAAACAAGTACTTGTATTAGATTAAATTACATTTTAAAATATTCCTAATCAGACTAAAGTTACTTTTTTATGGATTACATGATTACATATTACTTACACAGTAGCAATAATTTATTTATAATTTGTTAATTTATCACTTTCAACTTTTAAATGTTCCTTTCTAAAATACCCTAGTTTATGTACACTTAGAAAGTCTGTTTTGTGGACATTCACTAATGGACATCAGACATTAGTCAGGTTTACACAGCATTTGAGCACTGGATTTACAAAAATCAGGTTTAAGAAGTGTTTCAACATCGCATCAACTACTGATAAGCACTTTAATTTTTATTTGAATCATCACTCAGTCGGTTATTTTAACAACAAATGGAACATATTACTCTTTGCATTTTTATATCAATATGGTACAAGATTATCCTATTTAAATCAATGTGATAAATACGCTAGGTCAAAAGTAGTCTAAAAGTAGTCTGATTATATTCCCTGAAATGTGTAATCTAATGGATTACAATACTAACGACAATTTTTGTCATGCAATTTGGAATCAGTAACGGACTACAATCTGCCCAGCTCTGTCGATTACCCAAAAATGGCCCATAAAGAATGATTTAATTAGCCATCATGCTTTTATCGGTCCATCCCTGATGAGCTGAGCGGATGTGTCTCTTATCTCTCCAGCACAGGACTCTGGGAAGGGATGGAGCTCATCAATTTCATTATCAACTCATCTGTGATTAATCAAGTCAGCGAGAGAGATATGCTGCCGAAAGCCAAAACTATGCTTCGGTTTTCTGTTTGCAGTAAAATGTTGTAATATATTTTGTTAGACTAGAATTCTTGATGTATAAAAAATTGTTTTAAAAAAATGACTCTTTTTAAAATTTTTCACTTTTTGCTTATTAGCCTGTAGCCGGCAAACCAGCTAAATGAGGTGCATTTCATGTCAAGCTTCTTCAACAGTTGCACACAACATGCTTACAAACTAAACTGCACTTGGTGACTTGTAATCAGCACTAATTAGCTTCCACCATTAGCAATTAGCTGCCACACTGCCAACTTAGAAAGTCACGACTCAGAAAATCGTGAGTTTCCCCCACTGATAATTAGGTTCATGTGAAAGTGGCGAGAGTCTTCGTCTCGTTTCGTCTTCCAGAGTTTAGTTTGTTTTGTTTCCTTTGAGTTAAACTGAAGCCCTGAGTAAATCCTGATGGATTTAACAACTAGAATGATTAACAGACGCAGTGTCGGGGGGAACGCAAGTAACAAGTAACACGAGTAACACGAGTTTCGTAATCAGATCACTTTTTTCAAGTAACTAGTAAAGTAACGGATTACTTTTTAATTCAGAAGGAACTATCAGAGTTATTTTTCAAATAAGTAACGCCAGTTACTTTGTTTCCATGTGTTGAGTGACAGCTCTGGTGTTGCCATGGTGACAGAAATCAGGAGTAAGTGCAGAGCGTTGTGTGTGAACATGATCTTACTGTAGTTCTAGACTAAATATCAACATGTGTTTACTCATCTCACCTGCACACAAACACATTCCATTTGTAAAATAACTTTTTTATATTGAAAAAAAACAAGCAAGCCCTGCCCAGATTTAAAAAGTAACCCAAAAGTAACGTAACGCATTACTTTCCATAAGGAGTAACTAAGTAACGTAATTAGTTACTTTTTAGGGAGCAACGCAATATTGTAATGCATTACTTTTAAAAGCAAATTTTCCCCAACACTGAACAGACGTAAACCACCACGATCGACAAACATTTACCACAGTTTACCTGACAGTACCGCATCTAATAGTCTGCAGTTAATGTTACTACAGATATTAACTTGATAATTGTCACCACTGTTAGAAAAATTTTAAATTCAACAAACTGACAGAAAAATTATTACAGCTTCTCACAGAGTCTGAGGAAAAAACATTAATTTATTATGATTTTACTGTTGTATCCATATAGCAATGGGGATTTACATTAAACTAGTTTTTAAAAGAAAATGTGAACCTTTTGATTGTTTTTAGTTCGATCGATGTCCTCAGATAGACCTCAGCCCGTCTCTCTCTCTCTCAGTCTGATGTTTGTATCCTCCGGATAACGGAATAAAATCTCTGCAGCTCCACAGAAGGTAAGACCCTGAAAACTTCTTCCTGTAATCCTGTAAAGTGTTGGATTTTGTCGACTCAAACTGTCATTATTAGCATTTATTCCTCTTTCATTGAGAGGATCGAGGCTATGTCTCAATAGTTAGTGAGCGTCGCGCTGAACCGAGTCCCAGAAATGCCGTTGACTCGGAACGCGCCAAAAACCATTTGAAGTGAAGAGCGCGAAAATTGCAGACTCAGTAACTGTTAAAAACAGACACGGACTGTTTATTTGTGTTTATTCAGTTCTGCTCTGATTCCCAAGTGTTCGTTCGTTAAGTGTCCAGACTGACTGGACAAAGATGAATCAATTAATCGATTCCAGAGCGGCCAAAACAGTTTAGCATGTATAAATGACATCCACAGGTTATAATATAATCGAAACGCTATTGGAATATGATGTTTGTACTGCAATACAGTAGTGAAATATGTGAATTGTGCCTTATCTAGTGAAAACCGATTTTGTTCTGATCTCATTTTGACTTTTATGTTGTTTACCCTGAAGTAAAGGCTCGGAAAGGATGAATGTATTTGTGTTATGTTTGTGTTTGTGTGTCATGAAGATGAAACAGAACATTCAGTTCACTATAATCCTCTTCATTTCCATAAACCTAAAAGCACCTGAGGCTATTCCCTCTCCATCTGTCTCTTTCTCTTTTGTTTCTCTGTGTGTTATTAAAGGGTTTGATCATGTGTTTTCATTTCTGATATTCATCTCTCCTCTGCAGGTATTTAACAGCTTTATTGTCATATTTATTGACATATCTGACTCATATCTGTTTAGCTGTTTGCCATCCGAAAAGAAATCTCATCAGATTTTATAACTCCTATCCAAACCACATTAATATGTGATTAAAATGTGTATGGATAAACAGTCAGATCGTTTATCCGTTATTAGAGACATGACGTGTATGTAATATCATGCACATCAGTAGCATTTATAGCTTTTAGATACCAGATTTTGACTGTCTGATCAAATAAATCCAGTTTTATTATTCCAAAACAAGGTCTGCAGTGTGAACACATCAGTCTTGAAAATCGTATTTGGAAATGGATGTATGTGAAGTGTGAATCAAGTCAATTCAGACTGATTTTTATTAAGTTATTTTCAGTCAAACCAAAAACTATTCAGATATAATTTTTGATCATTTAGTGGGTGCAGGACACTATAGTTAATTTATGTAAATATGGATAGCAAAATAAAGCAAACTGTGACATATTATACCCAAAAATTCTTCATACAGTAAAATTGATACAAATTTGGGACCAAAAATTATTCAGACACTTTGACCTGACCATGTTTTGCTGAAGTGTTTTTACACCACAGACTGAACTAAATGAAGCACTGCTTGGTAATTAGTTGAGCTAAATTGGTTTTATCTAATTGTGTTCTTAAATTTAACAGCTGACAGCTATTCAACCGAATTCATTACATACCTTTCTATCAAAGTTATCTGACATTATCAAGATGAATTTGTTCTGACTCAGTTTAACTCTGAGTTCTTGTCATATTTTATTACCATTTTCTAAACTATAGCGAATAAACTGTGATAATGTGAGAAATGTTGAAGGTGTCTGAATAAATTGACTGTATTTGATATTTAAATGTTTAATATATCATATTTTTATGTTATATTAAATGTATAATGTGTTTGTGTGTGTTCAGGATGTGTGGTATGACGGTGCTTTTAGATGATGGTGGAGGTGATGAAGACTTTGACGTGGGTGACGGGATCCGGATGCTGCTGCCTCCTCCGGCTCAGTGTGACGGCGGGGTCTGGGGGGCCCGACGGGGCCACTGCGGGTGTGTGCTGTGGACGCTGCTTCTGCTGCTGTGGAACGTCCTGCTGCTGCTGATGTGTGTGGTGCTGATGGTCCTGATCTTCAGCCTCATTCTGCTGCCCACCGCCCTGCTGCTGTACGCTGGCTTCCTGTGCCATTCACGGGTAGATATGCCCACAATCACATGCATACACCCACTAATGCATGCATACGCCCACAAAACACGCATACCTTCACAAGCACACACATACACCCGCAAACACACAGATTCACCCACAAACGTAAATGCCCACAAACAGACATATTCACCCACAAGCATATGCATATGCCCACAAATACACAGATTCACCCACAAACACGCATATGCCCACAAGCACATGCATACACCTACAAACACATGCATACACCCACTAATGCATCCATACGCACACAAACACACTCATAAACCCACCAACACACGCAAGCACATGCATACGCCCACAAACACATGCAAACATAGAGATATGCCACCAAAACACCCGCTTACACCCACAAACACACAGATATGCCCACATACAGCCGCAAGCACACACATACGCCACAAATACACCCACAAACACACGCAAGCACACGCATACGCCCACAAACAAACAGATTTGCCACCAAAACACCCGCATACACCCACGAACACACAGATAAGCCCACATAAACCCGCAAGCACACACATACGCCCACAAACATGGATACACCCACAAACACAGATATGTCTACAGACACGCATACGCCCACAAACACACCGATATACACACAATATTCTGATGTTTAGGTTCTGTTTCTACAGGTTGTGGCTTCTCAGGCTGCTCTTTGTCGCTACCTTGATGACAACAGTTGCTCTGCCCTCATCATCCTGGGCTTTGTCATGATGTCTCCACTGGTCGTGGTTGCTGCGGCGACGTTCTGCGCTCTTCTCAGGCGGCTCCACCTACTCTTTTATTTTCAGCCAATCACAGAAGCTCGGTACCAAGGGCGGGGCTTGGGCAGGAGGCGGGACAGCCATGCCTGGGTTTGACTGTCAGACACGCCCACCATTCTCAGGTCAGCATCCGGGGTGACCTCTAGCAACAGTAACGTCACGGCACAGCGACGGCGTTACTGTAACTCCTCTACAGAAACACAATCATGTAACACGTGTAACACGATGTATGTAATATATCCCTAAATTACCAAAATGTAACTCTGGAAACGTTTTTCAGAGAAACGAATTCAATCTTTTCACATGACTGAGAAATTGATGCAATGTTCAAGAATAAGTGTTACTGTATATTAAAATTTTTATGACTACTTTCTTTCCGCACATGCTAGTCTGTTTGCGTGCGATATATGACGATGCCCTGTACGAAACAATCACGCAAATGTACAGCATCACTACAGAAAAATATCTCTTTCTTCTGAAGAAAACCACGGTGTTACAGACTTACGTAGATGAAACACAATTTAAGTGTTACCAAACTGACGTTTCGGTGGTGTGCGAATAAGTGTACTAGTCTAGAGATGTGTTTACTCGCTCATGTCGATGTTTATATTGGTTGGTCAGCTGTGTGATTCAAATGTGCACAATTGTGAATAAACAGACTAAAATCAAATCTGTGGTTGGACTTCATTTTGGAAAGTCTCAGATCAGACGTAAAATATCTTGCAATTATAAATTCATGAGGCTCAGAAATGTTCCTGGTATATAGAGCACAAGAGAAGGATGCTAAATCATCCAGAAACTTCAGCTTCAGACATCATTCTGTGCAACTCTGGATGGAAGGTAATACTATTTAAATGGTCACATCATTTGCATATGTACATTTGTAACATTTAGCGTAATGATTGTCGTAACGGAATGACCTGGAGTTGTGTTTGGAGGAGTTGGAGTTAGTATTGTGATTGAGGTCAGACTGCGTGTGATTTACAGATTAACTCCGGGTCAGTTTGACCTGAACGCTCTCATCTAACGCACTGTGATTTATCACCATGACAACAGGCAGTGGCTGGACCTTTGCCATGGCAACATAATGGGATGAAAGAGGGTTGAGCTGATGACATATAATGACAACCAGCGGAAAGACAGAGAGGCAAACGAATGGAGAGAGAAAGTTCTGCATCGGGAAGTACCGGAGTCTCTAGCAGAGCGATCGTTCACTAAAACAATAATAACTCTGTCATTCTTTCATCACCTCGTGATGTTCCAGAGCCATATATTTTCATTCATAGTGACACTGATTGGCAAACTGTAAACATGACCAACATAAACACCATAAAAGTTTCATATCATGAGTCTGTATTTTCAATTTTTTTGTAGTTTTTATAGCGTCATGGTGGGGAGTTGTGAGTGGTTGCCAGGGTGTTGCTATAGTATTTTAGGCAGTTTTAAGGGTGTTGCTATGCAGTTGCTATGGTGTTTTTTGTCATTATTATGTGAGTATGTGTGTGCGTGCGCGCGTGTTGCTATGCAGTTGCTATAAGGGTTTGGACAGTTTTAAGAGTGTTGTGAGTGGTTGCCAGGGTGTTGCTATGGCATTTTAGGCAGTTTGTAGGGTGTTGCTATGCGGTTGCTGTGGTGTTTTGAGTCATTATTTGTGTGTGTGTGTGTGTGTGTGTGTGTTGCTATAATGGTTTGGACAGTTTCAAGAGTGTTGTGAGTGGTTGCCAGGGTGTTGCTATGGCATTTTAGGCAGTTTCAAGGGTGATGCTATGCAGCTGCTGTGGTGTTTTTTGTCATTATTAGTGTGTGTGTGTGTGTTGCTATGCAGTTGCTATAATGGTTTGGACAGTTTTAAGAGTGTTGTGAGTGGTTGCCAGGGTGTTGCTATGGCATTTTAGGCAGTTTCAAGGGTGATGCTATGCAGCTGCTGTGGTGTTTTTTGTCATTATTAGTGTGTGTGTGTGTGTGTGCATGCGTTGCTATGCAGTTGCTATAATGGTTTGGGCAGTTTTAAGAGTGTTGTGAGTGGTTGCCAGGGTGTTGCTATGGCATTTTAGGCAGTTTGTAGGGTGTTGCTATGCGGTTGCTGTGGTATTTTGAGTCATTATTAGTGGGTGTGTGTGTGTGTGTGTGTTGCTATAATGGTTTGGACAGTTTCATGAGTGTTGTGAGTGGTTGCCAGGGTGTTGCTATGGCATTTTAGGCAGTTTCAAGGGTGATGCTATGCAGCTGCTGTGGTGTTTTTTGTCATTATTAGTGTGTGTGTGTGTGTGTGTGCATGCGTTGCTATGCAGTTGCTATAATGGTTTGGACAGTTTCAAGAGTGTTGTGAGTGGTTGCCAGGGTGTTGCTATGGCATTTTAGGCAGTTTCAAGGGTGTTGCTATGCAGCTGCTGTGGTGTTTTTTGTCATTATTATTGTGTGTGTGTGTGTGCATGCGTGTGCGCGAGCGCGTGTTGCTATGCAGTTGCTATAATGGTTTGGACAGTTTCAAGAGTGTTGTGAGTGGTTGCCAGGGTGTTGCTATGGCATTTTAGGCAGTTTCAAGGGTGATGCTTTGCAGTTGCTATGTTTTTTTTTGTCATTATTAGTGTGTGTGCATCGCTATGCTGTTGCTATGCTGTTTTGGACAGTTCCAAGGGTGTTGCTATGCAGTTCTGGAGTCATGTCTGATAGACTGATAGAGCGTTGTTAGTGTTGCCATGCAGTTGCTAAGGTCTTTCAAGAGTTTCAGAAGTGTTCCTATGCAGTTGCTGCTGTGTTGCGGGGGTGGATGTCAAATCGTTACATGGTTGCTATGGTGTTGCTAGGTCTTACAGTGATATTATCTGTGGCCTGGGTTCCTCCATTAATGTGTGTGTGGGGAGTTTTAGCTGTTTTTCTGAGATCAGACTGAATCTCCAGCTGCTCTGGAGTGTTTTGTTGTGCTGTTTCTCATCTGCCCCCATGACTCTCATTACCGTCTCTCGTTCACTGATGATGAGGAGCTATTGTGTGTGAGCTGATCTTCATCAGGGACCCGTGTGACGACGTCCACTTGACCCCGACACTCCTGATCCACAAAGACACAAACACCTCATTCACTGACATGAACCAGCTCACAGCTCTGTTACACTGCCATAATCTGACACATTTCTGAGTGAAATCTCTTGTTCCGCAAATGTCTGTTTGTTTTGCCCATTAAATAATCACACATTAATTTCAAACTCAAAAGATCATTTAAAGTCATTATTGCATTAAACGAGAAAAGCACTGAATAGACATTGCAAAAAAGTAGCAAATATTTATACTAAATATAAATATTACAAGGAAATATTTTAGATTCATTTTTAAATGGATATTAAATTATTTTAAAAAAATGAAATGATACTCTAAATATGAAAGTAGGTGGCGCAAAGTCACTGAATCATTCATTTAATCAATTCGTTCAAACGGCTGATTCATTCAGAAACTGACTTTATCTCACTGGATTCATTAAAAACTGTGGATTCATTCAGTAACGAATCACCACTGTGTTGATCAGAGACACGTCAGTTCTTCTGTGACTTTGATTGGAACTATTTCAGTTTGTGAAATTGATCAAAAACAGACACTATTGTGTCCAAAACACATATTGTTTATTGAACTGTTGTATAAATCATTGTCACATTTGTAATGGTGCAGATATTGGGGAAAATCAGCATTCTTGCCGCTGTGAAATTGCTAAACTATATCATACGATATAAATATAAAATGGTGATTTTTGACGCTAATATCTTGAATTTTTAATTCAGCCAAAGTGCGCGCTTGTAAGTGTTCGTTAAATGCGTAACGTTAATTACGTGAGTACAGGTCTGCTCATGTCTGAAAATAATATAAGCTTATGGACGTGATTATAATATAAGTCTGTTTTTGTCTCTTCTGAGGAAGATTCATTCACTTGTTTGTCACTGAACCAAACAGAGACATTCTGATCAGATTTATTTAGTGAAAACTGCATCTCTGTATTCATTCTATGTGTTCTCTTAATGTGTAAATTCATTACTTATTTTTTTGTTAACCTGGCAACACATCCCTTATGAAAATTAACCATGGTTTTACTACAAAAAAACATGGTTACTTTAGTTAAACCATGGTAACCACAAATTAACCATGGTATTTGTAGTAAAACTGTGGTTATGCAAAATAATACTAATAATAATAAAAAAATGAAAAAATCCGATCTGAATCAAATGATTCGCGATACGCGATCCGATTGGAGCGCTTCGAAACATTTCAAGTGAATCATTTTGTGACGCGATGCTTTAACGGATTCTGAGTTTGGAAAAGCTCCGTTTCAACCATCACTACGTGTTTTTAAAATCATTACAAGCGATGTCGAAATTCGAAAAAGAATGGCTCTTTTTATCTGTTTTTTTTTTTTGCTAGTGAATCGCTTGAACTGAATGATCGAAGTCACGAGTTCGAATCAACCGGAGAGGTTCCAGCGTAAATGACTCACTCAATTGAATCGGTTCGTCTGTTCCTCCGCTTTTCGCGTCTTCACCGAATGAACACTTCTTATATGTTATTACTCCACACGTGTATTAAATGTTTTCTAGTGTATTTCTTTATCTTCTCAGGTAATATCAATGGCGTGGTCTATTTCAAATGTGGCTGAAATTACAACAACAGTGCTTACATACACATATATTTAATTGTTTGATCAAAATTATTGCTTGGGACAATTTAGTAGTCGATAGATATTAGTAGTCTCTACTAAATTCCTTATTACAGTACACAGCATATAGGCCTATACACAGCCTACATTATATTTTGTATAATACAGTATTTCTATATTGAAATCAATTTTGCAGCTGTATTTTTGTTTAAAGTCAGAGTGCTTAATAATCATGTTTATTTAGGAAATGCATGCAAATGTACAGTTTATATTCCCGTATAATGCACCTTCATATTTCACCTCAGTAATCATGCATTACTTTGATTTATTATGAACTCTCTCAGGAGATTTATCACCTGATCATAAGCTTCCACACTGTAATGAAGGCATTTGAATATTCATAAAGCTCCTAATTTGGGTCAAAGTGTGTATGAATCTCTCCCGATCAGAATTAATCAGAGTTTTCAGAGAAGCTTTGCAACGATTTGTATATCGTGAAAAGAGCTATACAATTAAAACATGAATTGAATTGAGTTGAACAGGGACGTAAATAGCAGCTTAAACCGCTGTTATGAATATGAGATTATGATGTTTGTCGGATTTTAGCACTTTTTGCAAAACACAACACACAATTCTCTATGTAACACACAACAATCTAACAGGAAGTGTCTTGATTTCCTTTTTCAAACACAACCAATCAGAACTCCTCACATGCTCAAAATGCCTTTTAAATACATTTTACACAAGTATTTAGTATTTAGTTTTTTATATATATATATATATATATATATATATTTACATGTTCAATTCTCGTACATTGTGTTAATAAATGTCTCTTTCTGCATCAGTCAGCCAGATGCGTGTCATATTGACAGCAGTATTGAGTTGTGATGTGTTTCTAGCGCCACCTAGCGACTATTAAACAGCATCGTCACACTAGGATCGATTTAACTCATAATCCACAACCAGAGAACTGAGATGCAGAAGAGTGAGCTGTAACACCATTCAGAGAGATTCAAACCATTTATTTCACTGCATATTTCATCGCTTCACGTCTGAATGAAATGCTCTTTTTCAGAACGGGGAATGACTTTACCAAACAAAATTAAATAAATAAAGTATCGGGTAGGTGAAGGGAGCCCAGGTAGCAAGAACGTTTGGGTTAGCATGTGGCTGATAGCTGTCACATTTGGCCTAGGTATGGCATGGCTGATCACATATGGGCCAAACTTGAACCGTGTATGTTTTGCCATGGATTTAGAATTGGAGGGAATTTTCTTTTGGATGACAATTTTTTTGAGGTATATGGTCCAGATGATAGCACACAACTGAGAGCCATATGTGGCTTGGCTATGGCACACCAGGGAATATGTTAACTTATGGTTAACATTTGGCTTTTATTAATCTGGGCCACACTTTAGTTGTTGATATGGGCCAGATCCGCGCCAAAGGAAATTTGCTGACTGGGGAGGGCTTTATTGTCACAATAACGTGGCATCCATTTAATAATTTGAATTAAAATGATAATTTACACTCAATACGCTATTATTGCATGCAGTATGCAGATTACAGTATGCATAATGTTTTTAAATTTACTACAATACTGAGGTGCAGATAATTAACTATTAATAAGTAGTATAAATAGCAGAAAATCCTGCTTTTTTAACATAGTGTAAATAGAATCTGTAGCTACTTGCACTTAGTGTAAACAGCATCTATCGCTAAGAAAATATGCTATTTATGCTATGTTAATTTCACAAATGGCCGCTGCCTAAAAATAATGTCACAATCATGCTAATCCGTTTATTATGTTAAACATCCACAGCTTTATTCCAGCTAACACTTTCTGGTTCCCAGAACGTTTTTATTTAGTTCCTGTATTTAGGAGAACATTCGTCTGCTGGGATTGTAGTAACAATATTAACTGTGGTGTTTTGGAAACTATCGATGCTTACCTTTTGTGAGGTAAATTTGATGACAGGATTTATTATATTCCTGTGCTGACTCCGTCGGTGCTGCAGGTGGCGCTGTGAGCCGTGCGCTGAACCGGATCCGTGTTGCCAAGTCTGTGGTTTTCCCGCGGAATTGTGCTACTTTAACACTGTTTCCGCGGGTTGAAGCGACCCCAATAACGTGATATTTAGCCCCTGGAATGCGAGTTGTATTGGGGAACCCCGCCAAAAACCGTGTATTTTACTCCCCGGAACGCGATTCTGAGTAGAAATTAGGCGGGTTTTCTTGTGAAAACCTGGCAACCCTGAGTTACCGGACTCGGGAAGATGGCGGCGGCCGCCGGAGCGCTTCTTCCCGGTGACGGGATCGTGATCGCGGGAAAACTCTACTCGGGGGTCGCGCTCACGCTGGACACCTGCCTGCTGCCGCACGAGAGCGCGCACTGCAGCCCCTCGCGCGTGCACGGACTGTCCGCGCGCACAGAGGAGCGGCTTCGGAACCGGATGTGCGAGATGATCCAGAGCGCGGGAATTCTGCTCCGCTTGCCTCAGGTCGACTGGGCGCGCTTTTCTGTTGCCTAGCAACGACTCATCACCCCGACTTTTCAAAAAGAAACCGCGCTCGAAACTAGTTTAAGCTGGCTCTCAGTCTGGTCTCAAACTGGTCTGGTTTGAGATGGTTTTGGGTTGTGATCAGCTGCTTGTAAAGAAAGTCCAGTCGGTCAACCGGGTGAAACCCACCCTGGGAGACTAGTTAAGACCAGTAAACCAAGTGCTTTTCAGCATCTAAAGAAACACTTCAGACAATAACAACACTAAAGTGCAACGAGTGGCTGTTGCTAAGAGCTCAAAACTACTAGTTTTGAGTGTTTAAACTAGTTTTTCAGTCACTTATTTCCATACTAACTTAAGGTTTCACATGCTAGTAGCATTAACACACTAGGTGCGTCCCAAATCGCGTACTTATGCACTATTCTGTGATGTTTTGTAGTATAAATAGTGCGAGTAGTGCGTTCACACTGAAAATTCCCAAAAGAAAAAGTGCACTTTAAATACCCGGATGATTTAAATAAAAACTAAGGCCGTTTCTCAAACGGAAGGCTGCGTCCGCCGGAGGTCGCATTTGTAGACTGCATACGTCATAAAGAAGATCTTATTTTAGAATTTTAACAGTTGTAAATTTGAGCATTATTCTTGGTTAAGTGTAAATTGTTGTAATATGCTTATGACTCGCGAATGTAATGCTCAGTTAACTGAAATAAACCAGGCTGCAAATGCGACCTCAGGAGGATGCAGCCTTCCGTTTGAGAAACGGCCTTAGTGTTGAACACGTGATACAATCAACTGTCGCAGCTTTAATTACGTGGTGAATGAGGGAGGGGCTATCAGCTACATGGTCGAGTATGTAGTGCAGAAGTAAATAGTGTATAACTGCGTTATTTGGGACACTGTTATAGTTGGTTATGTTTTAAGTGTTCTTTATTGTTTTATCAGGTTGCCATGGCAACAGCCCAGATCCTGTTCCATCGGTTCTTCTACTGCAAATCGTTCGTGAGACACTGCGCGGAGGTGAGACGCTAATAGTCCACTTTAGACCTTCTGCTAACCGTAAGTAACTTTGCAACTACATGTCAAGTTACAAAGTTGTTACAAGTTGTTGTAAAAGTTACAACAAGTTACAAAGTTACAAAGTTACATGTTGCAAAGTTACTTACAGTCAGCAGAAAGTCTAAAATGGACTATGGAAATGTAACGCCTCTGGACTAGCCGTCTGGCTCTCGCGTATGACCTCATGACCTTTGACCCTGTCGCAGACGGTGGCCATGGCGTGTCTTCAGCTGGCGTCTAAGATCGAAGAGGAGCCGCGGCGCGTGAGGGACGTGCTGAACGTCTTCCAGCACCTCAAAGACGCCGCAGGAGACAGGTAACGCTGACCGTACCGCGTGTGCGCGAGTCTGCCGTGTGTTCTGATGCTGTGGTGTCTCCGTCAGGCGCCGCGGCCCCATGCTGCTGGACGACGGCTACGTCAGCCGCAAGAGCGACGTGATCAAAGCAGAGCGGCGTGTCCTGAAAGAGCTCGGCTTCTGCGTCCACGTCAAACACCCGCACAAGGTCAGGCTGCTGCGTTTTCACACGCATGTCCTGCATTTTAGGCCAGAATCATGCTTTTCACAAAAGCATGCAAATTCTTTGCTAATGCATCTCAAGCTTGCGTGCCACAGTTAGACTGGTGCATTTTTTATGAGCATATCCTGCATTTTAGACCAGTAATGTACCTTTAATGCATGTTTGCAGATTCTGGGGTAATACATTGTGGGTTTGCCTGCCATGGTTAAACTGATGCATTTTCACATGCACATCCTGCATTTTAGGCCAGAAATTTTCTTTTTACACAAGTATGCAAATTTTGAGGTAATGCATAGCAGGTTTGCATGCCACGGTTAGACTGATGCATTTTCACATGCATATCCTGCATTTTAGGCCAGAAATTTTCTTTTTACACAAGTATGCAAATTTTGAGGTAATGCATCGCAGGTTTGCATGCCACGGTTAGACTGATGCATTTTCACATGCATATCCTGCATTTTAGGCCAGAAATTTTATTTAAATGCAAGTATGCAAATTTTTAACTGACGCATTTTATTTACACACAACCTCAGTTTTACACCAGAAATTAAAATTTTACGCAAATATGCAAATTCTTTGCTAATGCATCGCAAACTTACATACCACAGTTAGATTGGCACATTTTCACATGCGTGTGCTGCATTTTAGGTGAAAAACATGCTATTTTTTGCAAGTACAGTTGAGGTCAAAAGTTTACATCCCCTTGATTCTTAATACTGTGTTGTTACTCGAATGATCCACAGCTGTGTTTATTTGTTTAGAGATAGTTGTTCATGAGTCCCTTGTTTGTCCTGAACAGTTAAACTGCCTGCTGTTCTTCAGAAAAATCCCCCAGCTGTGGCACATTGTTTGGTTTTCCAGCATTTTTGTGTATTTGAACCCTTTCCAACAATGACTGTATGATTTTGAGATCCATCTTTTCACACTGAGGACAACTGAGGGACTCATACACAACTATTACAGAAGGTTCAAACGCTCGCTGATGCTCCAGAAGGAAAAACCATGCATTCAGAGCCGGGGGGTGAAAACTTTTGAACAGAATGGAGATGCGTCCGTGCACTGGCGCATCGTATGTTTCTGGCCTTACCCGTCAAACGCCCGTCAGGTGAGCGTGTTCTCAGAGCGTGTTACCTGTGCAGGTGATCGTGATGTATCTCCAGGTTCTGGAGTGTGAGAAGAACACCAGATTGCTTCAGATGGCCTGGTGAGATCCTCAACTCAGTTGGTCTTAAACATTGTGCTGAAAACGACTCAGTGGCGTTAATTATAACCGTCTGTCTGTGTGTCTGAAGGAACTACATGAACGACAGTTTGAGGACTGATGTGTTTTTGAGGTTCAGGGCTGAAACAATTGCGTGTGCGTGTATCTTTCTTTCTGCACGGGTTTTACAGGTGAACACACACACACACACACACACACATGCTAACAATATGTTTTATCCCTTCACTCTTCCATTAAACCTGACCTTCGCACTGTTTCTCTGTCGTCAGATCCCTCTGCCAGACCAGCCGCCCTGGTTCTTGTTGTTTGGGGTGTCAGAACAGGACCTGATAGAGATCAGTTGTTGTATTCTGAGGCTGTACACGCTGCAGTGTGAGTCGCTGGCAGCTCTGCTGCAGCAGGTGGAGGAGATGCGTTCAATATTGGACGCTCAATATAACGCGAGCAAACAAGCAGGACTAGTGTCTACGACTGAAACCCCGACAGCCGGTTTCTCTCCTGCGTCTAAAGCTGGTGGGTTCATATACAATAGCCACCATGTATTGTCCTATCCTAACAAACCATACATCAATGGAAAGATTATTTATTCAGCTTTCATGATGCAAAAAATTGACCCTTATGACTGGTTTTGTGCTCCAGGGTCACATATACGTCTGCATACTGCATACAGTGTCACTAGTTATTAAAGAACGTCATGCGGTGCGCTAGTGTTTCACATGTTTCTCTCTCAGGAGGAAGCGTCTGAGTCGCAGCGATGAAAGGCGAAATGCTCGCTGCATCCCGTCGCCCCCCAGACGCAGGTAAGCCCTCACCTGTCTCGCGCACACCTGAGTCAGTCCTCGCGGAGGAGTTTGACCTGTCTGTGTTTCAGGCGCAGTCGCAGCGTTTCTTCTCCGTCTCCTGGACGCACAAAGTCCCACAGACACCGGCAGAGGGAACGGGAACGAGCGCGGAAAAAGACATATTCGTCTAACAGGAGATGATGTCATCGGGTCGGGGGAGGGGCCAAAACTGACCAATCAAACTGCCTTGAAAGATAGTGTTTTGTATTGTGTATTAGAGCTGCACGATTAATCGTTAAAAGATCGCGATCTCATTTCTAAATGACAACGATTCGCCCGTGTCTATTAAACCTTTGACAAAGTGTAACCGGAACATTTAAATATACGTTCGTGCTGCCGCTGACACACAGAGCAAACATTTAACGTTACCATGTTTGGGTAAGAAACAGCTTCACAAACAGTCTTTTCAACTACACGCACAGTATTATTTCTGTCTTAATTTGTATTATCACAGAAATACTGGGATTAAAGTTTATAGTTCAGATATAAACATTGATGTCTATGGTAACGATCAAAATAGAGCAAATCCCCTTTTGAAAGTAACTGGCGCGTCAAATAACGTTTGTGTCGGTTGCATTGTTTCGCAACTAGGTGGCGACAAGTGACTGTTTAAAAATGTATTTGTAACTGAATCATTCATTCAAGAGATTCGTTCAAAAACGCTGAATCATCCAGTAATGAGTCACTGAATCATTCATTCAAGAGATTCGTTCAAAAATGCTGAATCATCCAGTAATGAGTCACTGAATCATTCATTCAAGAGATTCGTTCAAAAACACTGAATCATCCAGTAATGAGTCACTGAATCATTCATTCAAGAGATTCGTTCAAAAACACTGAATCATCCAGTAATGAGTCACTGAATCATTCATTCAAGAGATTCGTTCAAAAACACTGAATCATCCAGTAATGAGTCATTGAATCATTCATTCAAGAGATTCGTTCAAAAACACT